ATACAAGTTAAGATTGAACCCTTACTGGTTTCGAATGAATTTCTGGTGAGTTTTCGTCAATTAAACAATGTTCCGTGGGAATATTACAATTACGGATGTTAGATTTTCCGAGAAATATATATGCTGTGACCGTAAACAAACTCGAGATTCTTTGAGAGATGATACGGTAATAGAACTAAACGAGCTGTTAGCATGCAGCTCCATGCAGACATGGCTCAGAATTGACATTTTTGGCGTTCTATTCTTTTTCTTCGAGTGAAAGAGGATGAGGAACTTCAGTTTTGCTGAGATTTTTCAGTTTCGTCACATCCCTCTGGCTAATATTATGATTCTTTTATAGGGTTTCCTGGAAGAAACGGAAGCACTTGAGTGAATGTCACAGCGTGGCAAAAAAAATGTGATGAAAATAACAACCACCCACATGATACATTCTTTCTCTGAAAAGGATGAACTGTTTTTATGTGCCCACCTTAAAATCAATTTATCGTTTCCCACACCCGTAATAGCCCAATAACGCAATGCATTATTCCAGACTCTGTGTGAAAAATTTACATATTCAATGTTAATCTTTCTGAGAATTCAAAAAAACACCCGCCGGATGACAAACAGGTCAAAACACAATGCCAAGAAAATGAATTTGACAGCTTTTCACATTTTCTTGGGACAGTTCCTTCCCAGAACCTTTGCTGATCAATTATGCAATTCAATTCACATCAACAAACTCATGAAATTGCGCGCGATCGTGTGACAATCTTTTTCTGCATATTCTTTATTAATTGAAGTCACGAAAGCCAAATGTTCCAACGTGAGGCACTGGTGTCGATTCGTTTGCACTTAGTCGATGCTCCAGTTAGTTTGTTTGGGAGATTTGTTTAGTAGGAGCAAGAGAATGTATAAGCCTTTTTTAACTTTCGGAAGTGTTTTTAATAAATTTTGATATTGAATGCAAGATTAACTCTCCGAAGAGAGTCTTACTTGGATTAAAAAAGATACTTTGAAAGAGGAAAAAGATACAAACTACTTCTAACGCCAAAGATCCTAGCGAGCACAAATGTGCAAGGGAGAGGTGTCAAACATCTTGCGATAGAAAGGTTCAAACTCTTGTTGCCATGTTAACAGTGTATGTTTGTTCATTGCTCGACATTCTTTCGAACTAATGTAATTGTCCAAAATGTCAGCACTTTTGTGTATCTTAATGCATAAGTATTCTTTGGAGAATCATGTAAACAAGGTAGTCAATGATTTCATTGTGTTCAGCTGCTGCCATTTTCAGGTAGGTTAAAACAGACAAAAGCTTTCTCTGAATTCCTCTTAAAGTACCCTGATTCTGAGAGTAAAACTAAACATGTACTTTACGCTGATGTTCAAGTTTTTAGGGATATGAAAATTTCAACAGAGACTATAACTTCAATATTTGTATCAGGGAAACAGGGTTAAAAATCCGATGGTCCGTTACACACGATTTATTGCAGGACGAAGAGCCCTTTTGGATTAATATTTTGAGTCCAAGACCATAGTTATCACAATACGTGGGAGGCACAGTGGCCTCATGGTCAGTCCGGTTTCGACACCTGGCCTTGTGAATGTGTTGTGTTCTTGGGCAAAACACTTTACTCCCGAAGTGCCTTTCTAAAGGGCGGTGCCTCGCATCGGTCCTTGTGTCCTGTTTGCACCAACCCTATTGGGTCTACGACTTCTATAAGTCATACACAATAAAACTGATTTAAAAAAAAAAAGAATAAGTGGCCAATCATAAACGAGGAAAATTTCACATGAGCCAATTACAACAAGGAAAATATCACTAGGAGCCACTGAGAACCCAAAGCGAGGACTAGTAAGAGAACTCGAGCGCAAGGAAACGTACGTTCCTGAGTCGGGATATTTTTTATCGATTGGTTAAGAGAGGTACAAAGTTCTCTTGACCAATCGAAAAGCTAAGGAAAGTTTAATATAGGTAATGGCTGATTACTTTCAGTTGTGCAGCGGAAATTGCGATATTTGAATAATGTAAACATAAGAGTACCGCTATAAACAGCTGTCACGGCGTTAGTGCAAAGCTCAGAGTTCCATGAGTTAAGGGATGAATAATGTCTCTGTTCAACTTGGTTGTAATTCATTTTGGTGGTCTGTTTGGGTTAGAGTTTGGTTCCAGCTGTGAAGCCGTCTTTCTTTTGACTGCCGCCCTTGCCTTTGCTATCTTTCTTGGCATCTTTAGCCGCTTGTTGTTTCTGTGGTTTTGCTCTTCCTGGCGGTCCATGGTGTCTTCCATCTTTCTTGTCGACTTTACTTTTCTTTTCTTCCACTGGTTTTGCTTGCTTTTCTTTTCTTGCACTGCCCCCATCTTTCTTGTCGACTTTACTTTTCTTTTCTTGTACTGTTTGGTCTTCCAGGCTATTCTGTGGATTCTCATGCTTGTTAGCATCACCTTTCGACGTCTGACTCATGGATTTGGCCTGTTTTTCTACCGGAGGCGCCTCCCCTTGCACTGACACAGGTTCTTTTGGTCTTGAGGTTTGATCCTTATTAACCTGATCGAAAGTCTTGTTCGGTTCTTCATGAGGTGGCTCTGCGTCCTTTCTTGATTTTCCTCCTTCTGTCAGTGCTTTCGCCCCGTCTTTCGGCGACTTTTCACTTGTGTCCTCTTCATGGGTCTTATCTTTGGAAGCGTTGTGATCAGTTGCATCGCCTTCCAGAACTGGACTGGGAGGTTGAGGTTCATGGTTTTGGTCTCCTTTTAAATGCTGTGGGTCATCTGTTGATTTTCCTCCTTCTGTCTTTGCTTCCCGCCTGTCACTGTTTGACTCTACGCTTGGGTTTCCTTGTTGAGTCTTATCATTAGAGGCGTTCTGATCATTTGCATCTGTTGAGTTTTCGCATTCTGCTTCGCTTGGCTTTTCATTTACCTTGCCATCCTTCTGCTCTTGGATCTTATTATGGGAAGCACTGCAACTGTAATTTGCGTCACCCTCCGACTGTTGATTGCCGGGTTGAACTTCATGCACCTTTTTTTTTTCCGGAGGCTGTGGGTCACCTGCTGAGTTTGTTTCTTCTTCTCTACTTGTCTCTGCATTTCCCTCGTCATTTTTTCGCACTCCACTTGACTTTTGGCTTCTATGGGAATCATTTCGATCATTTGAATCACTAGTGGCTGTTCCTCTTTTAGAGTCATCTGGTGTCACGTTTTCATTTCCCTGAGCGGTTTTGTCACCAGCGGAAGTGGCTGTCTCGTCTATTTTCGATTTCTTCTTCTCGTTTGCCGTTTGATTCCCTGATTTTTCATCACTGGGTTGATGCCTCTTGTACCGCAAGGAGGAGGATGATTTTATGGCATAAATTACTAGGGGGGGTCGTTCAGGCAATATCTCCATCTTTATATCTTTCATTTCTATGTCTTTCTCGTTATCCTTCTCTGCACCTTCGTTTCTCTTCTCCGACAGTTTCCCATTAAATGGACTCTCTTTTGGCAGTATCTTGAAAGTTCCTTGCAACACTGGAAGTTGTTCCCCTTTGCCTTTGACAATCTCAAGTTCAAACAGAAAGCAGCCAATGTTCACATTGTAGGAGTTCTGTCGCGACGACTCAATGTTGGCGATGAATATCACGAACCTCTTCAAGTTGTAGGTGGGCATGTTGTTCCACACAGTATTCTCGTCTCCCCCGCTCGGCCTGGCGAGACCAAGTTGATGATGAGAATGCCACTCGCCAATATGACAAACGCCTTCATGTTTTGTCATGTGCGAACCAATCTCTTCCAAGTAGCTAATATCTTGGTAGAAAGATACCGAAGATCTTCGACATCCTTTGCCAGGACCGACAACGAACTGAATAACAGCAGTGTGTTTGTCAGCCCACAAACCAAACAGATCTCCTCCAGTCTCGATGTTCGTCTTCTTGAGTACCCAAGCGCATAGCTGTTTGTAATCCTTTTCGTAGATTACCACCTCAAAATCCCGTCGCTGCGACTCAGATGACTTCCACCACGGCATCACTACAAGCAATGGTTTAACTGATCTTAAGCGTTCTTTCGAAGACCTTTCGCCGATGAGCTACACGTTATAAGTATACTGCGGAAGCTGGTTTTCCGGGAAATTGTATCGTGACTATAAAATATGCATATGGATCGCTTCCGTGAAGCTGTAATAAACTTGTTAGGAGGAGATTTACAGTTGCCAAGCAGGTTTTGCTACTGATTTTCGAAATGTCACCACTCTATTCTTTCGTTGCGAGTGACGAAAGCTTAGAAACTGCAGTTTTACAGTTTCTTTTAGTTTCACTAGGTTCCTCTTGCTAATGTTATGATTCTTTTCCTGGAAAAAGCGGAATTTCTTGAATGAATGTCACAGTATGACAAGAAAGAGAAAGAATGATTAGTTTGATACTCATTCAACTTTCCTTATGTTAAAAGGATGAAATAAAATATTATGCCTAACGAAAATCATTTGATTGCCTCGTACAGACGGAATAAAACCAAGCAGAAAAAAACTCACCGCTTTATTTCTGGTGCAGTGCTAAATATAAACTCATTGTGACCTTTTTTTTCTGAGAATGTTTACGACATCCTGCCAATGACATATTTATCAAAGCAAAGAGTGGAGCAAATGAAGTTGACAGCTGTGCTTTTTCTTGGAACAGTTTTACCCTGGCGGATTATAATTATACAATTCCACTCTCAAAAACACCTGCACGAAACTGAACGTAATCGTGTGATATTCGTTATTCTAGGCTAGTTTATGAGAACGTCTACAGTTCCCCTGCATTGAAATTCAGCGAAAGTGTTAGAGGAATTCTGAGGAAGAGTTTCACAACAAAGCACATTCTGCAAGAGAAGTGAGATTGCACGAAACGACTGACCTAAACGAAGATGGAGACGTGGTCCAACAAGGAAACAATGTTCTTTAATCCAGAAACTGGGAAGCTGTCTCCAGTTAAAACCGACGACAAAGCCGTTGCAGTATCCATGGCTGCTGATGGATTTTTTTTTCACATTACCATTATGAAAGGGTCTGCTGGTCTGTATCATTCGGATCAACTCAGTCAGCTTGTTCAGAGCCTTGTGGCGAATAAATGGCATTTTGAGAACTGAATCGTAAAGGAACTAAACGTGTGTGTAAGACTTGTCATCTTGACATAATTGTTATCAGAATGGTACGAATGTGTTTTTAATTTTCAGCGGAGTAGTTTGTACGATTTCAGAGAAAGTGTTGTCTATTGAAATTTTTTCATTAGGAAGCTGTTAACGTGTACGTAGGGATGACGTCCAACACGCACAGTAATCCACGATAAAAAGGCTCATATAGAACTTCTGAATAATAGCACAGTGTACAGCATCTACACAATCGATAATTCTATATAGATGAATAAAGGCTGATAGTTTCTAAAGAAGGGCATTCGCTCCGACGAAGGGCTAACGCGCGAAACGTCAGCTTTTGTAATCATTACGGTGGCCAATTTACCATTTCAACTTTGTTGATATATCCAAATTAATTCTATATAGATATGAGCGTTAGGATTGTTTACATTAAAGATCTCGAGCCGCAGAACTATAGCTTAAGTTAAGTTAAAAGCCGAAGATCCCACTCAAAATCCTGCTCACTAAACTGATCTCAGGTAACGTTTCTAAAATATTAATCAATTTTCAGTTTGTTATTCAATTTGAACGTATTTACTGCTTAGGCTTAGTTGTCGTGATTTCATGATCTATTTTGTAAAATGTGAAAGTCAGGGTTGACAATTAATATGCGAAAGCTCTTTTTGAATAAACTCGTTGTAAACATGCACACATTGCCATGAATTCACGAAATTTGTATTATTACATTATTTTTTTACGAGTAATCTTGTGGAAAATCTAGCTTCGATAAATTTCGCAGGCAGACAATGTTTTCAAGATTCAGAGTCTTGTTGAGGGTCCTCGGAAGAAATTAAAATATTTGGGAGACTGTAATCGAATAACGAAATCTAAAAAAGGAGAACTTACTGGTGAACAAACAGGGTGAATGTCAGTATTATTAAGCATGAAAATATCCTTACTTTTAAGTGTTTTTCTGGGAATGCCTTCAAAACCTTGTCGCTAAAGATAGAAGGTAATATAGATGAAGTTGGTAGTTGATTGTGTGTTTTCTTGGAATATTTTCACAGCTGGATCCTAGGTAAGTGTTTGATATGAAGCTAAACTTACGAAAACATTTCTACGAAATGACACGTTCGTCATTGACAATCTGCTCTTTGAAGATTATTTCATGGAAACCCTATGTTTTGACTAAAATGAAAAAGAGATCAAGGAGAGAAAATCTGAAAAATATTTAATGACACAGGGTAGAACAGTCTTCAAAACTGAGAACTAGTTTATCTCTAGGACTGTCCTGAACAAGAAAGGGGAGGTCAACCGGCAAGTAATAGAGAGAGCTGACGAGAGGTGCATTGCTGTTCAGTGCTCTAGCGATGACTGCGGCGGGGTGATGTTCTAAATTTGGAGTTCTTTGAGTCTCTTCGTTTTAATAAGATGCCACTGCGATTATGTCTGGGAATGAGGTCACCAACTGTCTGTAATGAAAGTATCAAAACTGGTAACTCGAGAACTTTTCCATTTTTAGAAACGGCGTCACGTCAAGCTGATAAGACACGATAAACACATTCCCAGCAATTCTGGAAATTGTGTCGTACTTTTGCCCCGCACGCTAAAGGCTCCTTAACAAAAGAATTACCTTATTTGCTTCTTACTGCGAAGACATATTCGTATAGTGCTCGACGGATAATGGTGGTTGATGCAATCAGTGTGACAATTTGTTCCTGCTTTTCTTGGAACTGTTAGAATTAATTACACCATAATAAAAACGAACAAAACAAAGCAAAAGAAAATACGCTACCATAGAAATAAGAGCTGTTGTCCTAAGCTCTCTGTTCAGAGTGGTCCTTCAGTTTATGTATATATATACTAATTGTGAGCTGTAGCTGGCACTGTTAAAAAGGGCTCAATACACATTTGTGTAGAGCGGTATATAACATTAAGTGACTAGAAGGAAACACACACGATTCACTGGAACTCTGAGTTTCGTGCGTTAAGCACTCATCAGGCAGTTGCAGCGAATCATCACATGTGTGTTTCCTTCTACTCACTTAATGTTGTATATATATGTAAAGTGTAAAATTTGACTTTCGCGAAACAGTGCTCAATACATAGAAGTAGAGCGATGTATATATTACGGGAGGAAAAAGACAAATAAACTACAAGTTCATCCTTACAAGCCTGTTTCGTAGTTGCCCACTCATCGGGGGATTTGAAATCCCCTGAATGGGCAAACACGAAACAGGCTTGATGCGAATGGTCCCAGAAGTCGCACTACACTTACTATCAAAGAAGTAAAAATAACTAGATGCTAATATATTGAAGGATGTCACAGTTCACCGATTTTGGAAGTCATTAATGAAATTAAGGTGCGTCTCTTCGCTGGAAAGTAATTTAGACCGTGTATGACGGAAATGTTCTAGATCCCATATTGTCGAGATCTTTAAACTACTGTATGTAGCAAAGTCCCTTTTCCTGTTCTCCCAGCAGAGTTGAGTGTGATGGAAACGCAGATGCAATATTTGAGTGTGACGGAGACGCACATGTAATGTGATTGATTAAAGCGCTAACAGAATTTTCAACAGTATTCCCAGCAATTATTTTATTGTCTTTTCCATTCGTGGACACGCCTGCATTGGATTTCGGAAAATTAAAAGGAAAGGTAATTTGCCACTCTCTTCCTCTGTGGTGAAGGCTCAGGGTGATGTCGTGAGTTTCCGCATTGCGCCTCATCTTGACCTCTCCGTCTGCGATTTCCCTCAGTGCGTCGAAAACATATCTAAGAGTGGCCTCTCCTGAGTGTCCAACATACCACTGTTCAGTTGTCACGCTCGTAGGGTGACCGTAAATGTCTGCTGATGGCTGATCGAGAGTTTTAATGCGATTGATTATCTCTCTGACAGCAGTTTCTAACTGATCACCACCGACCATTGCGTAGAATTCTCCGCTCTTGAACAAGCTTGCATTAGATTTGGGAAAATTCGATGGAAATGCGATTTTCCAATGTTGTCCATTGCGCTTGAGTCTTAACGTGATGTCATTGGTGTCTTTTTTGCGACTCATTCCCAACTCATTGTCAGTGATGTCCCTCAATTCTCGTGAAACGTATCGAAGAGCTGCTTCTCCTTGATCACCAGCATACCACTGCTCTACACTCATCCGTGTCACTGGTACAAGATTTTCACCAGCCCGTTTTGGCTGCGCCTGAATCATTGCTGATATCATAGCTTGGACGGCGGTGTTGATGTTGTCACCACCCACCATTTTAGAGAAATCTCCATTTGAGAGGTTTACTTCAGATCTGGGAAAATCGGATGGGAACCTGATTTCCCAGTGATCTCCATAGCGCGTGAAACTTAATGTAACATCATGGGTGTCTTTTTGTCGACTCATCCTCACTTTACTATCAGCAAAGTTTGCCAACTCGTTTAAAACATATCGGAGAGCTGCCTCTCCTTGAATGTTCTCGTACCACTGATCTGCTATCACTTTTGCGGCACCATCATGAACCAACGCACCTTTAGGCTGGATTATTGTTGATATCAGCTCTCTGGCGGACGTTTTTATAGTGTTACCCCCAACCATGGTGTAAAACAATCCATCAACGTACAAGCTGGCGTTGGAGGCTGGAAAATTCGCGGGAAAATGGACTTGCCACTGTTTTTTACTGCACCGGAATCTCATGCATAGGTCCCGGGAGTCTTTATTGCGACTCATGTCCACCTCACCGTCGGCAATTGCTTTTAGCTTTTCCTGAATGTATTTAACATCA